TTTGGGTTCAAACCCATCGGCAGCTGTCTCCAAGTTGGCTTATCACGACCTACCTCGATCTCGTGACCGCGGTAACTCCCGACCGCCAAACTCAGGATCCTCTCCTACACGGTGCTAGGGACCGTATATCCGTCGTTGTTGGGTGGTTTTTTCGAGGGTTAACTGCACTTGCGGGCCTCGGCCTCCCCCGGGGAGGGGAGGAGGGGGGGAGGCGGAGAACTGTCTATGGCAGAAGACAAAACGTGTGCGTCTAACAATATCCCAGCGAGACAAAGAAGACCCTGCGTATGCTTCTTTCTTCCGCTCAATCGGCGAAGACAAACGAGCCACAACCACCTGCGACGACGGCGCAAAACTCGTGCCACTTTCAAACACCAATGACACCTCCGCTGCAGGCCACTTGTCTTAACAGTATACCACCAATTTCGACGATTTGGTCAACTTCGTTTACACCGGACATCCAAGAAGACTTACGTAACCTCAACGATCGCGCCATTCTGGCAACCACCAACAATTCCATCGACTCTTGCAACGACGACATATCTTCCAGACGTGACGGCCATAACGTAGCCTTCTACAGTTCTGATACCCTCATCAAAGATCATAACACTTTTGCGACTTCCACTGCCTTCTGCTCTACTGAAAATCTTAACATCATTGACGTCCCAGGGGTTCCTCCTCATGAACTACGTTAAAAATCAGATACTCTACCTATGCTAATCAGAAATTTGAACTTTTCTGAAGGTCTCGTCAACGGACAGAAGGTTGTCGTTCGTGGGGTGTCGCCAAATTCTCGCGTAATCCAAGCAGAGCTATTAGGTCACGACAAGTCCATCGTCCTCATTCCTCGCATTTCATTCAACGCTCAAGTAGGGAGAAACGGTATCACATTCAACCGTATCCAATTCCCTTTAAGAATTGCGTGTTCTCCATATATCAACAAAAGCCAGGGTCAAACTTTATCTCGTATCGGCCTTGACATACGCTCTGACTGTTTGTCTCACGGTCAACTCTATGTTGCCCTGAGTAGAGCACGAAATCGGAACTCTGTGATGATCCTCCTACCTCCTGATCATGTCATGAACTCCACCCCACACGTTCAAAATTGTGTCTACGCTCCTTTCACAGAAGCTGCCACCGGTCAACCATCCTCCTCACCTCCACTTCCGCCCAACATTCCGCCTAACAATCCCGGTTCATTCAATGATTCACCTCACATTCCTCCTCCCCCGCAACACACATGGTCTAGAATCAACGAAATTGGCGACGGTGCGTGCGGCTTTCGTGCTATTTCTAGGCGTGTGAATAACGACCCCGGAAAACACGCCCAAGTCCGCTCTGAAGTTGTTCAATACATGCATCTCAACCGCAACGAACCCCACTTTCAGAATTCCATAACAGCACGGATACACTCAGAGGACCTTCAAATTCTCGGACAATCTCCGCAACAGTACTCATCTTATGACAGTTACATTCAGATTATGTCCCATCCTAGAGCATACCTCGGCGAACCAGAAATTTTTGCTGCCGAACGCAGGTATAACATTCCAATCCATACTTTCTTTTCGCTCGATGCTCTCCCCGATCCCACCCATGCCGATCAATCTGCTATTTATCTTCTCTACGACGTATCATCTCAACACTACTCTTCCTGCCTACTGACTCCTTCTCTTCCTCAACTTCCTTCATCACAGCAAGTTTAACACCATCAATGGCCAACGACTACCAACATTTACCACCTATAACTAGCGGCAGTGGTATCGACTGATCCAAGGCGTTGGAAGACGCCGTCATTCCATGTGGGGAGGCGGCGAGATAGCGGACAATTTTGACACAAAAACCCCCGCGGGGTCGTGCAAGGACGGCTTCAAGACAGTCTGCGAGGTCTAACCCGACCGTCTTTGCCCCCTGGACGACACGCCCGAGCTAAAGCGACACCTGAAGACGGTTCGCGCCTTCATCTGCTGCTCCGGCTTCGTCAGTCCTATCCTTTCGTCATATTGTTGGTTCACCAGTAGTGCAATTTCGTCCGTAACGGAGGTTCGCTTCGTGTCATACGCTTTCATACTTCGTTCAAGTTGCCAAAAGTTGCGTTTCGTTTGCGCCGTGAGGTTTGTTTGCAAAGGCTGCGGGAGTCTGCTTCGCATACCTATTGCGTGCGGGTGTCACCCTACATGACTTTGTCATTTCTTGCGCGAGTCGTACAACTCCTGATCTAACCCTTCACAACGCGGGTTTTTATTCCTTCACTTTCGCGTCCTACCGTCCACCGATGTGTGCTACAATATGTATGTATACCTTCAATCCTTTTGCTACTAAACAGCAAGTTGCGCACAGGAGTTGTGTTGCGAGTAGTGCAATTTCCTTTGTCTGCCAGCATCCGATACATCCGCTTCGCGTCATACTCTTTCTTTCGTACTTCGTTCAAGTTGCCAAAAGTTGCTTTTCGTTTGCCAGAAAAAAATACTCAAAATAAATCCCATATTTCACGCTCCCACCAAGTAAAAATATTTAATTTTGCAAAAAACCCACCAACCGTGAGATTTATTTGCAAAGGTTGCGGGAGTCTGCATGGAGTACCTTTTCAACATATTTCCTTCCAACAAGTCTGTTGCAAGCTTGCAATAGGGCTTGCAAGCATTCCGTTTCCCACTACGCGTCGTTTCTAGTTATGACGTTAAACACACCAATTTTTTCGCTGCCACTCTACATCATCAATCTACCAACGAACACAAGCCTTCCTCATCTGCTACATCCTCGCCACCCTTCTACTTTCGCCATCACCACCTCACAACGCCATCATCCACCGCAATTTATTGCTCATTNCTGTTGCAAGCTTGCAATAGGGCTTGCAAGCATTCCGTTTCCCACTACGCGTCGTTTCTAGTTATGACGTTAAACACACCAATTTTTTCGCTGCCACTCTACATCATCAATCTACCAACGAACACAAGCCTTCCTCATCTGCTACATCCTCGCCACCCTTCTACTNCTCAAGGCCCGCCGCGGAGCTCCTTGTAATAATCTCCACCATAAATGCTGCCCTTGGTGGCGACGGAATCAGAAATTGAGGCTGGACCCCACCGTGGCGTTAGTTAGACTTGGGCGTCCTGTTGTACCATCAGAGTCGTCCAGCTTAACCTCCCGCTAGGTTTGGAAAGCCACCCGCCGTGGAAAAGGAAGTGCCGGTGAGTGTCTCGCGTGCATCAGTGTCCGCTTTCTGGTCGCGACTGAATTTGTATTGAGAATAAACGCCACTTCCTAGACTTCCAGTCTTACGTCTATGAGGGTGCGTGGGCGGCGCTTTAAACGTACTCTCTGTTGCCTCCTGTTTGCCGTTTCACTTGGCTGCCCAAACAAGTGGGGAGGATGAGCGTCCTTGAGATACGTGCGGTTTCGTGTGCGAACGTTCCTGGATATTGCTTGGACCATTACCTGGACCGGTGTTCAGGATGCAACAGGTCTCCGCGACCGCTTATCTTTCCCCAATAGTGTGGGAAAAGAAAGTGGGAACACCTCCCCTCGCTCGTGGTGAAATTACCCTCTCCAAAGCTAACCCCAACATCTGGACGCATCCACCTGCCTACTGTACTGTCATTTCTACCAACGAGCTACACAGTCACGATTTGGGGTCATCGAGAAGAGCATCTTCGTGCAATAGACGTACGTGCCTTCCAGTTTTTTGCGGGAAAGGTCCCTGAGTCTTCATATCCCCATGTCAACGACTGTGCGTCGGCTCATATTCACTCACTCATAGCTAAACACGAACTAGTTTCATTTGCCAATAGTGCCCTTCTGTGTGTGACCACGGATTGAAGCGCGCTCCTACACGGAAGAAATGATGTGTGTGGGAGCGCAACTTACACTGACGATAATAATAGTACCCTTCTGAGTGTGACTAAGGATTGAATCGCTCCTACACGGTTAGAAATGCTGTGAGTGGGAGCGCTAATTTACACCGACGATAAAAAAAAGAGCTGAACACTCTTGGTTAGCGAAAGTTGCATCGTCGAGACTTGGAGCCGCGACCGTGAGGATCGCACGGTTTACCCGGCTGGGAGTGAAGACCGCGACCTCAGGTCATTCGGACCCCACTTATACTTTAGTAGAAGCCGAGATTCAACCAATTTTGACTAGTAAGGCCCATGTTTCTGGTTTCCAAATCTTTATCTTCCTTTCTTTGGATAAATCTTGGCTTTTTCGACCTTGTGGGCAGTCTGCCTTTCCCGAACGAATGCGAATCAGCTGTTCGACCTTTGAGAACAGTCACAGCTTTGGCTGAGATGTCTACAGATCGCCTACATTTCGCGCCAGGGTCCAGGTTTGATTTTTCAAGATGCGCAATTTTAACGCAAGACTTTTCCAACACCAGCTTTTGGACAGATCTTGGCCCAAGATTTGCTCCGAGGTGACCTTTCGGCCGAATCTTCAACATCTTGCTCTGCTGGAAAAAAATCAAACGTGGACCCTGGCGAAACAAATAGGCGGTCTGTATGCATCTCAGGCAAAGCTGTGACTATTCTCGAAAGGTCGAACAGCTGATTCGCACTCGTTCGGGAGGCAGACTGCCCAAAAGGTCGAAAAAGCCAAGATTTGTCCAAAGAAAGGAAGACAAAGATTTGGAAACCAGAAACATGGGCCTAAGCGCTGATTTGTCTAATGGTTTCATTTCGGTGGTTCAAGGGGATTCACCGTGAGGCCACGGGCGCGACCCGTGGACTAGCCAGGTCGTTCGAGGGGCATACCAGCTTCGTGTACGAACCGGCACCGACATCACGGTACTTACTTCATACGGGAAGCATATCTTCATGACGTACATGAACACCACAGAAGAAACAAGCGCCACGTCAAGTATAAGATTCTTCTCTTCTACAATGTCCTCCCTAACACAAAAAAAAAAACATTTTCGAGGGTATCCAGAGGCAAATTTCAAGACAAGGACTAGCAACTCATGGAATAAACACCAAAATGTACAACCCACACGCTCGGGTGGACACCCATCAGTTTCCCACCTTCGCCTTCTCGGCGCGCTTCACCAGCTCCATCTCACGCTTGGCCCGGACCTTCCTCTCTGCCGCGCGCTCCACCGCCCGCTCCGCCGCCCTGGCCTTGGCGGCCACGGCGCGCTTCTGTAGCTCGACGAGCTGGTCGGCGTGGTGCTGTAGGTCCGCGATCTGCTTCGCTCGCAAGGAGCGCTCTTCCTCCAGAAGGAGGTTCGAGACTCGGTTGTTGAAGTCCCTCCACGTCTGTTCCGGCGGACAGCAAGAGCGTCGGTGAGCAGCAAGGAGCCGGAGCTAGAGTTAAGGCACGATTTTCGAAGGGCCTCGGTGTGCTACCGAATACTCGTAAATGTGAAGGTGACTTAAACCTCTTGGGTCTACAGGCGTCCTGACAGATCATTGATTGATCGATCGATCACTTGCAAATGATGGTGTTGTGGCATGCCGTGAAGTTGTTACCCTTTGTCCCTCCACGCCAGGTGTTGGCAAGTCAATAGGTAGGTGTGTTTTTTGTTATTCGCATCGACCCCGCGCTGCCCGGTGAGCAATGCAAAGACGGTCACAGCAGTGCCAGCCGGTAATATCAGGTCCCTAGAAGGGCAAAAATTAAAAAAATGCGCACCGCTCTGAATGCGAATGCCACCATGAATCTCTCCCCATATCCTTTCACAGAGACACACATCAATAGCTCCACATACATGCCCTCCCCCGAATTTAGGAAGAAACTAAAGCAGAGACAGGAGGACAGGGGCACTTCAAAGCCCAATCAGGCCAGGACATCGTGGTATGCTGCATGTATATCCTCCAAATTTGAAAATCGTACACTACCAAGATCCAGTGGTCATCATGTCAGCAGCAATACTACACAGCAGCAGCAGAATAGAGGAGTCCAACATACAGCAGTACTGTAGCACAAACACCATCATCATAGCCCCATACATACCCTCGCCCAAACCTAGAGAGCCACTGATGCAAAGGTAGGTGTGTGCTGGTGTGTGCTTGCGTGCTTGTGGTAATTACGGAAAAATCACAGGAGCTGTAGCGAGCCGGCAGGGCTCACATTGGGGAGAGGACAGAAGTACTGAAGTACAAGAACCAGCTATGGGTCTAAAAGCCCTCTCACTGTCGTAGGTGACTCAAGATACCACACCCGGTGGAATGACTTCCCGCCCTCTCGTCAAGAGTTTTCTGAAAACGTGTCGTTTGACTCGTGCATTATCTTCGTCGTCAAGTAGTGGAGCTGTGAAAATCGATCCAGGGGGTGCCACATATCATGCCACCAACGGCATGTGGGCTTCCATCCACTGGACGATAAACGGTATGCCCCAACGGTCGTCTAAACAGGCGCAAGAAACGAACGGGTCGCCACACGACGTATGACCCTGTCGGGCTATTGAACGAAGAGACTGCAAATTGAAGGCGTGGCCATCAAAAAACGGCCGTACACCCCGCTTTAGGCCGCCAACAACGTCCTCTGACGAAGCTATGTCCCTGGAATCGGATCTCGAAAAAAAACAAGGAAAAACAAAGCGTCTCGCAGTACGGCGAGATGATTCCAAGAACAAGAAGCAGAGGGGGTTACAGGGTTACACTTTGATTTGGGCAGCTCTGCGAGCGAGCGAGCATGCCGGCGAGACATTTCGCCATCATCAAGAAACACCGAACCCCCCACGTATCTTGGCGAAAGGAGCTAAACATGGTGCGCACCGAAATCTGACACATGTTGGCAGACTGTTTTTACCGGACACTCGTGCCAAACCAAACGCACGCGGTGCCTGGTGCGGTAGACGAGCAGCACGCCAAAGCAAGGATTATTTCATCCTCAAGTCAACACAAATAGCCACGAAAAAATGAACGATAACCTTGTCGTCACGTACTTTTCTGATCGGCCGAAAGTAGGTATTTTCCCGGCTCAGGCCACCACGAAAAACAAAGAGTCTCAAAACAGGATCTTCACGCACCTTCTGATTGGCCGGAAGAATGCACTTTTCCACCTAGTGCCATCGTGAACAACAACACCACCACCAACAACAGCAACAACAAAAACGGATCTCAAAATATGACTGTTCTCGTACCTGCTGGTCGGCGAAAGCATGCACTTTTCCCCTTCATGCCATCGCAAACAGCAACACCCTAGTCTCAAAAGCACACGGGTGTGTTACGTACCTTCTGGTCGGCGGCGGCGGTCACGGCGGTGTACCCCGTACCACAAGACGAGTCCGGCATCGCGGGGGGTACGCAGACGAACGCCGGAGAAGTCTCGGGGGTGAACTCATCATTCTCCACGGGAGAAGACGGCGCGGTCTGCACCGAGGCTTCGGCGACGGCCTTGACGGTCTTGACGACCACGTCGGTGGCAGACCCCACCTACGTACGCACAGGAGCAGGGTCAACACAACCGGAGTCGGAGTCGTGTGAATCGACGACGAATTCCTCGCGATCCGGTGCGAGGTTCTATTTGCTTGCTGGGGAGGTGGGGGGGGTACTCATAGTTGTGCATGCCGTAGTCGTTAGACCATTGACCTCGCATCCCTACGTACAAAGCCGGGACGGAACATGCCGGGTTCTCACCGGACCAGCATCTCACATCACCAAGCGCGAAGCACCGCGGGGTATTCGGCGAGTCGTATGAAGGGGGCGTTGCATCCTGCAAAGGGTGTTCAGCAGCGGTTACCTTTGAGAATGGTCCGAGGGGCTGCCTTCCGTCCTCTACGGTGCGCATCGTCTTGCGTGCGTAGGATAAACCTCTCCCTGTTTGGATCCCGAGACAGGCGCTCGCGTACACACACGGATATCGCTTATCTCGGGATCCAAACAGAGAGAAGTTCCACGTATCCCACGCACGCTGACAATGTGCACCGTAGAGGACGCAAGGCAGAGCCCCGCGCCGCTATTCTCCGTGCCTGGTGCTGCCGAAGGGGAGCTCAAGAACAAAACTCGAGAGAAGATCAAGAAACCATTCGGCGCTGTGCTTGGGGCTTTCTCTCTGTCTCTCCCTCCCTCCTCCTCTCCCTCTCTCCCCGTCTCTCGCTCGCTCCGCAGGAGACCCATCGGTATCCTCTCCGGGGGGGGCAAGGCCTGGTCCGACCCAATCGCAAACTCTCATGAAGTGATCGACAACGGTGGTCTCAAGGACATGTACAACGGTATGACGGAACCGCTTCGAATCCCGGCTCACCATGGAGGAACAAGCCGCCTCTTCGGAACAACTTTCGAACCAAGTGTGCTGTGTGTGTCAAGCTTCAGTGGTTACGGAGTTTTCAACCCGAAACAGTTCTGATTCTTGAAGGGGTCACACAGACAGGCCTATTTAGCTACCCCGATTTCTGTCTGCGCACGCGAAAGATTCTTGAAAGTACGTTGGCGGAATTCCAAATAAAAGTCGAGGGCAATATTTCACTTGGGGGCCAAGACTCTCTCTCGCCTCCCTCGCAATAAACACCTGCCTCGCCGAAAAAAGACCAACAACGAAAACATTGGTCAAGACTCGCTTTTCGTACGAGATGATACAACAATGAGAAGAAAAGGATCAATTCTGCTTTGACGTACGAGGCTAGACAACTCCGAAGGACCGTCAACAACCAACAGTGCCAAAGAGCAAAACAAAAGAGACAACACAACACGCGGCTCTTCCCGAACAAACCAACCAAACCACGCCGCCCCCTCCCTCCACACTCCCATTCTCACGTGCTTGAGCACCCGTGCCGAGGGAGGGTTGGCGGCGGCGGCGGCGGTGGGCATCGAGAACGTGCAGTGCTCCACGATCGCCCACTCACTGGGGCCCCCGCAGCTGCAACGATCCTTCCTGAACGTCAGGCTGAAGCGCGCCCGTACCTCCACCGTATACTCTTCCTGGCCGCCGGCCCCCCTCCACGAGAAGGTGTGGGTGCCGGACTGGGAGGCGAAGTCGCCGCGGACGCGTGCCGGCGCCGCCGTGAACTCCACCAGCCTAAGCTCGGGCAGTCGGGCGAAGTAATCCTTTAGAAGGGAGCGTGGGGGGGCGGGGGGGGAAGTAAAACAAGAAGTTTAGAGGCTTGACCAAACATTTTCGCTGTCGGCGTACCGTTCTGTAGCCGTTCGCATCTACCCGCCGTTGGCCTGTACCCTCCTCTGTGCTCCCTTGGGTTTCGGTTGGGACAACATGTTAGCGCTCCTTGGTGCAACACAAAGTAGCACCACCAACTATAACAACCTTCCTGGCACGACTCCTACATCTGGGCCATGACACCGTCATGTTCGACCAGCGAGAGGAATATCACGTCCCATCACCGGCCATCACCACCACCACTATGAACGCCCAAAGCACTGACCGACAACAACCAGCAGCCGAACAACCTCACATAGCACGGGCAAGTCTGTTTAGCCGTTTCGCGGACCGCCGACGACAAGCATGTCCAACAGCTCACGAAACAACGGTGGGTCTATTCAGCCGTCTCGCGGACTAGCGACAACAACAACAACAACAACAACTCACACAGCGTTGGTCAACAACTGTGTGCTGCTCGGGAAATCGTGGAAAAACAGAACTTTCGCCGACGTCATGGATTGATTGCTAATCTATCTTGGGCTCTTTCGTCGATGGAGATGGATTCGTTGGGTCATTGTGTACTGACAAAAAAACAGAAAAAAAACAACAACGAGCAGACCTAAGACGACACCACTCACGTAGTAAGCGTAGATCTGTTCCGGGGTGTTCCGGACCAGCTCTGAGGCGTACTCCCAGAGGGGGTCGTCGAAGGCGAACGCTTCCGTGCCCCAGAGAACGCCGTCCGGAGCGTAGAGATCCGCTGCCTTTCTCGGTGCGTCGAAAGTGCCAAGCGTTACCGTTTCCGCCCAGAGCTTGGTCGTCAGTTCCACCGCATGTTGGTCTGCGCGGGAAATCGAGAAACACAAGAGTGTGAGTTGTGGCAAACCAACCTCGGATTCGAGGTATTCGATGCATGCTGCATCTCCTTGAACCGACTGTGTATGTGGCGAGGGTGGGACGTTTTCTTTGTTCCGACTGTTGTAAGTGAATGTAGCGGTGAAATGACTTCCCGCGGTCAGGGGCGAGGACATGTAGACGCCTCCCGGATCCCGCCTTATCAGGATAGCGGAGGGCACTCCCATTCGTTCCCTTTCTCATGTGAACAGGATCTACCTGGTTGTCAGCGTCTCGGGCAACAACCTAATGTTTCATGATTTCCCACCAAAAGTAGCGTGTTAAGGGCTACTATTCTTCAATGCTGCTCGAAACACGTTCTTCGTGAAAGCTCACGGGAGTTTCACACATTCCAGCGTCCAACAACAACAACAACAACAACAAACCTGCTCACCTCCATCTTCCGCAGGCGGCGGGGATGAGGCCGCTGCTTCAGCCCCCACCGGGCCTGCCGTCACTGCATCGAGAGGGGACAAAAGAGCGGTAGAATTCCGATCAGCTGACTTCAATCGAGAACGAAGCAGCCCTTGCTCTTGCCGGCCTCTGCCTACGCCAAGAACCGAGCACCCTAGTTACTGCGGCATTGGCCTTTCTTAAAAAAAGAAACCAATCGGTACACAGGTGACTGCGAGATACACAAGAACGCAAGCCGTGAACTTCCTCTGAGCTCTGTCGTCCACAAACACCTGTAGCCTGGAGCGGTGCTTGCTCCTTGCTGGGTGCTTGCATTTGCCCTCCCCTTGGATCAGACACCTTAACAATGGTTGTCGCTCTATTGCGAAAACTTCTCCGGGAGGGGGCGTGCTACTCGACCTCTCTCGAAGTGTGCGACACGATTGTGGCTTGCTCGCAAACAGCTCAGCGAAGTGAACTAGTTTCGGCTGACGTATTTGGTTTGCCATGGTTTGGAATCATCCGCGCTCAATCGTGGTAGAACAGCCGAAGAACGGGTGGAGTGCACGTAGACGACATCCGTGAGAACAACACACAAACACCAGCTCACCAACCTCAACGAAGTGGACGACCAACAAGCCGGCAACGACAATATAATCAAACGAAAAAGAACGAACACCACCGTTATCAACGACGTCGGCATGCCCAGCAAATGTCGCCTCCGCTCACCGTCCTCTTCCTCAAAAGGAGTGGCAGAAACCGCCACATTCGCTGCTGCTGAGGCTGCCGGGCCGGCCAATCAGCTACAAGTTTCGGCACAAAAAAAAAACTCTAAATCAAGAACGGGAGGATCCCTGCTACCTACATAAGCGCGGATGGACGGGTGAATTTCGGCGATATTGCCATCGGCTTTCACCAACCAAGAGTTGAAAACATCCCCCGCCACATCAGCACTGCTCTACAGATGCTCGCACGTAGGACCATCTCTCGGCGCCGGGTGCAGACAAGACCGCCAATCAGACATCAGGCTGTGTGTGTTCCCTCAGAGTCGCGTCATTTGAGGACAGCAGTTGCCGTTCCTCCTGCGTCCCTAATAATATTGCCGTCTCAGACGATGACGATATCCACAAATGACAACAGCAATGACAACATCATCGATGAGAGCGAGTCTTCCCCGCTCACCGTCTTCCTCCGCAGACAGTGGTGGGCACGAAGCTTCCGCGTTCGCTGTTGCTGGGCCTGTTGCATGTAGCGACAGAGTTCGGTAGCACGTAAGACCATCCGATCGATCCAATCAAGAACGCGGCAGCTGCCCAATACTCGCTATTCAAAACAAGAGGAGGGTTTACATTGATTGCTGTCCGGCTGCGCAGCCCTGCTGTCCGGTCATCTCGGAGCAAAACGCGAAGGGGTCGGTGTCCAAATGTTGATGTGTCTCCTGCTACCCTATCCCTCCTCCTACTGCTCTCGGGTCTCATAATACATTAACAATAGTCCTGCTCTTGCGAAAAAAAAAAAACTTGATATTTTTGTACTCTCCCCTTGGCTTTGTGCGGCACAGTAGTTGTCGACCAGCGTATCAAAGTACGTGGCTGTTTCGGATGACATCATGTACACACCAGTCCGTCGCGGCTTGGGGTCCATCGACATGGACCCTTCTGGGAATGTAGCTGGAAGCGCATTCGGACGACGAAAACGACGACGACGACGACGACGATACCGGCAACCACTGAATCACTCTACCTTTCTCACTCACCGTCCTCACTCGTAGAAGGAGAGGATGGCGTTGGCGATTCCGCTGCTCCCGAGCCTGTTGGGCGAGTGGTGCCTGCTTCCGTGACACAGAGGGACGGACGACTGCATTCAGCACCTTTCTAGCTACCAGCCGATTCCGACGAAGAATAGAAAGCCTGTCACCGGCCTGCATGTTTCTTACACCTTGTTGACAGTTGTTGTTGCCTTCACAATATTGAAAACCGTTCCGATCTCTCTGCTCAGCACATAGTATCTGATCCACCACTCTGCCTAGAAAAACAAAAAGTCCATTCAGACGAGTGGCAGCGTAGTCCCTCAGTTCCGTCATCTCAGGGCATCTACACTGTGGGCGTCTCCTGAGGGCTACGTCACACAACAATATCCTACGGTCAAAAAAACAGCCTCATGGCTACTCTCCACTCACCATCCTCCTCATCTTCTTCCGCCGGTGTTGGGGATGAGGCTGTGGCCTCCGCTTCAGCTGTGTCTGCCCCATCTGCCCCATCTGCCCCATCTGCTGCCTCCGCTTCAGTTTTGTCTGCCCCATCTGCTGCATCTGCTCCGTCTGCTGCCTCCGCTTCAGCTATGTCAGCCCCATCTGCTGCGCCCGCTGCGCCCGCTTTCATCGAAACCAAACAACGACAACGTTAAGCAGAACCACGCTTAGCCAAGACACGAAAAGCCCATGACTACCGCAGTGCATCAATCCGAGCGACAAAGGGGCACCTGTCGCCTACAAGTACGTACGAAGGCGTGAAGCTACGCGGAGCTGCAACGCCCCGTCGATACGGGTGATAAAACCTGAGACGGTCCTTGGTTGTCCCATAGTCTACTGAATGCATACGCCGCGTTTTTCTGCGGCATCAAGCTCCTTGTTCTGTTGGGGGGGGCTAAATCAGTGTTCTGTAAGACAACATCGACACCAACATCGATCGGTTAACATGATACGAATTGGTCTCCACTCACCGTCCTCTTCCGCACATGATGGGGACACGTCTGCCGACTCCGCTGCTGCCCGGTCTGCCGTCGTTTCTTCATAGAGCGGCGACAAGGACGGGCGGTACCTGTGAACCGGCTTCTTCCACAGTTCACGAGGTTCGGTCTCTCTAGACTACATGGGACGAACTGTTTTATCCTTGTCACTTGCGTCAACCTGCAAATACAACAGGCGAGGCCTCCAGTCTTTAGAATAGGGAAGAATAGGGAAGCATATTCATATCCTCGACAATACCTGTAGGTCCAACCGGCACCCGACTCGAGACGAGCCCTCCTATCAGAGGGCAGGCTCATTCCTCTCGAGTCCCGCGGTTGGACAAAAGCATGCTGCGGTTGTCCTCTATTGCTGGGGAGGAGTGTCGCTACTCGACCACTATTATTGTTTTCTTCGCGTTACAAAGGTACTGGGCTACCTACTGCATCTGTCGTCCAACTGACCGGACTCCTTCCGTGATCACACTTGAGGGTATAGTCTTAACCTTGAAAAAAAAAAAATCAACAATCTATAAACTCTGGCAGCCCTCCAGGGTACTCCGAATGCCCGAGGTTCTGCAGTGAAACGCTCTATCGACATGGTGCACTACTCTCGCTGGCACTGACATGATGCGGTAGAGTTGTTGTTGAGCAGGTGAACGAAGTGATTTGATGTCGGATGGACGTTGTCTAGTTTGATGACGCTTGTGTCCCCGCAAGGACATTGCCGATCAATGGAAAAGATGGGCGGGTAGGTACAACGACGAGACACCTCATGCACGAAAGTGGGCGTCTCCACTCACCATCTTCGTCCACAGACGGAGCGGTCGAGACAGATGCTTCAGGCGCTGCTGCTGGGCATTCCGGACCTCCTGTCGTTGTATCCAGCGGCGACAAAAAGTTCGGCGGAGGTTGATCATAAAATCAATAATGGAGCGGCCTCGCTACATCATGTACAATGAGGCCACTCCGGTGATGTCGACAAAGAAGAGGCTTACATTTTACGGATAGGGGTCCAGCTGGGGAATTCAACTATATCGCGCGAAGCGCGAAAAAAGTATGAGGAGGCATGTTTTTTCAATGCGGTCGAAAATGAGAACAAGGAGATACGAGAGGGAGAATGACGATTACTCGTCGAGATGATGCTCGTTTCCGTACGGATTTTTGCGTTACACTCCCTGCTGTGTGTGGCTTTCCGTGATTGCGTTGGAGTTCGCTAAAAGAAGAAAAAATATAACAACAAAATTCGTTGAAACGTAGCTAGTACGGGGCACTACGAAACCGCAGTAGGTCGCCGGAAGCAAGAACGATTGACTCAATATGCAACGCAAGCTGCGAGTCGAAGACGCACTACGCCTGCAGTAGTCCCTACGGCGAAGCGTCTAGATGTGAATTTTAGTCGGTGAACTGGGGTTGACGAAAAATGCTTCCGCATTGATCTATATTAACATTAAGCACCCTGAAAGACAAACTTTGAAGCGCCACGGCCGCTCGATGTCCCCGTGCGTGTCAGTTGGTAGAGTACAGAGCCCTGATGATGGCATGTAATACCCTCCGGTACAGGTTCGAGTTCACGGTCGACCATGGAAAGCGACGGCTCAACTATTGTAGTAAATGGCGAAGGAAGGTGAAAACAAGCGCACGAAAGCTCCTGTCGTGTGTAGCCTTCCTCCTTCTTCAAGACCCCGGCTGATGATGATGCGTCAAGCATACCGGGACGTGTAAAAAAACACTCAATTCCAGAATAAATGGGACAACGGACACAAACAAACACACACGCGCAAATCAAGAGCAGAAACAAAATAAGCACAAACTCGCGCACACTCTGAGAAACAACGTTCTTCACACGCAGCAAATTCTTGCCTTCAAACAGCAGAGGAGTGTCTCTTGTCACATCCGATTCTACACGATGACTACAAAACCAACGTGGTATGTTTTTCTCCCGTTTCGTCTTTCGCGGCTGCTTGCCACCACCGTTGCCCTCCCCCCCCATCGGCATCGCCATCAACGCTCCAGTAGCTGGCGCAGCATGGACGGCGGTGGCAACAACCCCCCCGCCCCCTGACTCAGCCCCCCTCCCGCCTTCATCCCGCCCCCCGCTCCCTCCCCCCGCAATGCCAGCCTTCCACAAGATTGCGACGCCCAAAAGCACAGGAGACCAGGCTGCAGCTCTCCAACCGAGCCCTCGAACGCAGCCCCGCCCCCGTTCTATTAAGGGTGGAAACGGAGAGCGATTGTTCCCGCTGGAGTCCTTCCAAGTTGTTCCCCTGCCACCAGCAGCACAAGGTCGTCTCTGAAGATGCACTTCTTCTCCCTGGTGTGGACCCTCGATTCTGGCATTCTTTCGCTCATTCTTGCCGTGAATCGCTCCGAGGAAAGCACGAGCTTGAAGAACACTAGGTGCGACAACGGCGTTCGGCCGCTAAAATCACTGCTTTCGTCTACACGAACACACAACGCCTCATCATCGTAGAAACTCCATGCCCCCCCGACCTCTGCCTCCCATGAGCTCCTCGAGCGCCAACTCTTCTCGCCCGTGCCTACTTAGTCGACGGCTCCGGCGGAACGGGGCAACTCGACTCTCAGTCCGCCGTGGTCCGCTGGATCAGCTTCCCAAGATACTTGTTGTAGTGTCCTCCCGGCGCCGCGGGCAAGCCACGGTTCTTGACTATCATCCTCAGGTTCCGCCGGGGGGTTGAACTCCAGCAACATCGAGTGCGCTGGTGCTGGAGTTGCACTGAAGCAGGCCAGCAGGGTCCACGGTGAGAACCCTGTTGCACGAAGTGAACAGCGGCGGGGACGCGGCAAGAGGAGTGGCAGCCGTGAATTTAAATCCTTCTAACATCCTTACTGGTGCAACTGACGGAGATGCCTTCCGTGGGCACAGGCCCCACCAAGGATGCAATTTGAAGACCTGAAGAGCAAATGAAAGGCCGAGAAACACCCAATACAAACGCTATCACACAAGCTCTAAAAATCATGGTCCCGGATAGCAGCCAGACGCCGCAGTCGACGTGTCGGACAAGGGTTACAGGGTCTTCGCGTTATGGGTAACGGATATCATGGAGTTTCGACACGGCAATACAGACATGCTCAGATCTGCTGATCTAAGGGCTGTGCTGTTGAAGGCTTCAACTGCGTTCGAAAAGCCTGCGAAGCGGAATCATCTTTCGAAACAGCGCTCGTCGTCACAAACACAGCCTCCGTAAGTGTGGGCCTACCGCTGCTCTAGTCTACTACAGCAGCAGCAGCAGCAGCAGCAGCAGCAGCCCATGCCACAGAATGCATGGCTCTTCCTCGGGCTTGCGGTCGCGACTACAGTACAGCAGTCAAGTGTCAACCATTTTAAGTTTGCGGACGATTTGGTACAGCAGGTATGTATGCTACAGTAAGTTCTTCGATACCCCTACATACCCCAGCGACAGACCCGTGGGCGCGCCGACACATACGTCGCTACAGAGTTAACGCATGGTCCTTAATTGATATTGCAGCATCTCAGGTTGGGACCCCGACGCCGAAAAAGGTATCTACAGCAGTACATGTTGCAGATAGGATGTGCCCGCTAGAAGTACTACTGCGCTGTTGCTGCTGTCGTATACTGCTGTTGTACCGACTTGGTGTACACTACTGCTGCTGTAGGTGCCTTGGCAAATCATGTAGACAACATGGACACAAAATATGGCCGTTATCGAGTCGATAGTCTATACCCGTACCGCCCTTTGCCTTCAGGCCATTTGTGTTTGCGGTACAGATCATGAGTCGAATGTGTTTGGATCTTGAAGATGCTGCCTGAACCAGCAAACCGTGTGATGTGGTCTGACGATGTTCAGTTGTTTTTCGGTCTCAGGTGCGCGGATACATACATCGGTCGACTGAACCAAGAAGAGACGAAGAGCAAACAAATGTCCTGGCGCAATCACCAACAAAAACTACGCACCGCCGTCCTTCTCGCTAAACACCTAGACTGTTGCTGTAGCCTCAAGGCAACAAACAGCAGGCAGAGACAGACGTACATACAGGCGTATCCCGGCCTTCGTGCACGCAAACCAGCTCGCTTGTTTCCGATCAGGAAGGACAATCTCACCTCAACTCTGCTTCAGCACTCGCGAAGGCCATCTTTGTTCGCTCCTGCAGTCGGGAAGGCAATCCTTGTGCTTGCCAACGGCGTATTACATCGCCACGCCGCCAGGATGATAGCTCAATCAACCCCACCCAGGAATTGCGATGGTGTGGGTTGGAATGGGCTGTGTTTGCACTAATAACGAATCCTGGGCTCTGATTGGCTTGCACTAACAAACAGTTGGTTCTAAATGAGGTGAATGGAGCCCTCTAATTGGCTTGCACTAATAAAAATTGTATGCATATAACCTCCACCAAACAAGATGAGGCGCCCGGCACCGAATTCCCAGCCTTCTCCTCTCTCATCTCGGTAATAAACATGAGGAGGTGGGTCATTCGACATGGCAATAAGCCTGGTGCAACCAACTCCCGTTGCCAGCCTACATTACCGGCGACGAAATCAGTTGCGAAGTTGAGTGTGTGCTGCAGTACATGCGGTACAAGATAGTCTGGTCGTAAACAAAGGACCATTGCAAACCATTGGGCCAACAACAGAAGTCCGGTGGTTTTCATCTTTCCCAACAGATTGGTAAAGACTTTGCATTTCACTAACGCTACGCTTCTTGTTACCAACGTAGCAAAGTCATCGGTCAGCAGTGCCCTGAATCCTGCCAAGAGTACTTGTAGTCGCCCGTGTCTGGTGCTCACTAGAGCCAAAAAAATACTTGAAATCCATTACTACACCTATGTACTTGTGTACAGCATAGTGAACGCCGGTTTCAACAGCTCTCGTTGCCGTTGTTGCTATTTGTTCGTGGATATTTTTTACTGTCTGGGATGACTTTCGGAGAACGCAAAAACAACATAGGTTTGTTGTTGATGTTGTTTCTCACATTAGCTCTATTGTCCACAAAAAATGGGGAGCCCGTGGTCTCAAAACCCGGCACATACGACGCCGCGGGGAAACACAACAATAATAGTGTGTGTGTGTTTTCGTCCTATTTATTATGGCGACAGTCCCCCCATTTTTCGTGAGACGTGTACTACCTCTTTCAGCGTATGTAGAGTACTACACTTTTCAGTGTATTCTTTCGTACAACTACAACCATCCAGGGTCACACAGGAGGGGGTAAACACCAGGGCTTTTTTCTTTATATTTCTTTTCATGCCCCACCTTCCTCCTGCGGTGCGTGCTAAATTTTATTTTTTTCGCGAGAAGGGTCCATCCAGCCGTCCCTTTCCCGCTAACGTCGAAGTTTGGTACTCACGATAGCTTTTTAGCTAAATATATTCCACTTTCACCCGCATATTTCGTAAGTTCTTCACCCCATGGGGATTCGAACTCACTACCTCTGCGACTAGCGGATTACGAGGATACCACTAGACCACCGGGGCGACCGGACTAACTACAAACCACTGGGGAAATGGAAACACAACGATGAAAAGAAAATAACAGGTACCGCACCGACCGTTCGAGAAACGAGCCCTCGGAAATCAAAACAAAACAAGAACAAAATAAAGGATGACGCTTCCCACACCCGCCAGAAGAAAAAATCAAAGGGTAACGTACCAGCACGTGGCACTACGCACCAGGGCATTGGAGTAACGGATCAAACAGGACAAAGAGGCGGCAGATAGGCAGACAGCCAGATGTACAAAAAACAAAAGCAACAGCAAAAGCGAGATAGGCAGGGAGGACATGAAAAAAAAGAAGGTGTAAGCTGACGTACTTCATCTCCGCGTAGAGAGCTTTGGGACACCAAGCATCCATCATATCGGACGTTTCTCCCGGTTGTGCAATGTGCGGGGGTGGCAACAAAGGCCGGCGCGGTGTGTTTTTCACAAGATTTTTCTCTGGCGTTTTGTGTTCCACGTCGTATGACGTCAACAGCGCGAATGCAGCCGAAGCGAAACAGCGGACCAATACAGCGCCCTTTGCGTCAGCGGGTGGAGTCAGCGGAGGGAGTACAGACCTACCAGATAAGTCGTCATGCGCCGAAAAACAGATCGAGTTTGGTGTCGGAACTGCAGTATCGCCCCCACACAACGGACGAACAAAGTAACGACTGGCAAGGCAAGTTGAGCGGGGCTATCGAAGTCGCGTCCGCGATTAGCGTGCTCAAGACCGTACAAGGCAAAACACAGCGCCAGTCACATCCGTTCTCTTTAGTTGCCCCCCGACAATACTTCTACCGCTGTAGCGGGGTGTTTCTTCAACGCCTCTATTATCATTTTGGATCAGTAATAAAGAAAGGCGGACGTTACGCCTGTGGTCGGGAGTAATTTAATTTTCTGGCCTGGTGGTGTGTGTGGTTGATAAACGGCAAACGGGCCCGCTCCTCTGCTGCGCGAACGACTCTCGTACACATAAAACAAGTCCGTGTCTTCGTGTGATGCGGAGTGCACGGGCCAACGTTGCAGACGGAGCGGAAGCCTTGCATGTGGGCGCCGGCCAAAGGCTGGTTCTTCAATATGGGCGCCACACACACCAAACTCACAATCCACATATATATATTTGAAACTTTACCTGGAACCTCTGCCGCGGGCGGATCACGCTGGTCGAGGGCGGCAGGCATTCCTCCCTCGCACTCCTGCTCTGCGCCCAAAAGACTCTCCATCTACTGCTGCTGCTGCTGCTGCTGCTGCTGCTGCTGCTGCTATGCGGAACGCGTGGCGAATGCGGTGCTCTCGTGCCCCTTCTTTTCGCGCCTTTTGCCCTGCAGGAGACCCGAAGACAGCTGCAGGAACCTCAAAGAGTCGTCTGTACACGGGGCAGCTTGCAGCACAGCAGGCGAAGCGGAGCAGTCACTCGACACGGCCGCACAATGGTCAGAGCACCTGCGGCGGCGGCGGGGGTGTACCAATCCTCAGAGGTATCAACCGTGTTGTTGCTGCCACCTCGAGATGGAAGAAGGTTGCGTGTGAGATGCGGCGTACGCATGCCTGAGCCGAGCGGAGACGGATCGGAGTTCTGTGGGAGATCTTCATGTTGAAAAAATCGGAGATCTGCCTTTCGAGCGATGATGCGATGATTTAGGGGGGGGTGGACTTGTTGTTAGGGGACACCAACCCACGCCTTGGGCACGCTCAGCTTGGCTGGCTGCACACCATCACCCGCCAAAAATCCATGGATGTGGAGCAGTAAGGCCAGCGCGAAGCCTTGGTGTGCGGTTCCCGGAACACTGGCACAGCTTTTGTGCCCCTCGCCCACAATTCGCGGGAAAATGATCTACCCACAAGGTTTAAGTACTTGTTTCGTGGGAGATTCCCTCAACGCCTGTGTATATGTGTGGCAGAAGAGGGATATCATTGAACTCGCCGGGAAAAGAGATGTCGAGAAAGTCGACGGCCGGCAGCCCTACATAGTTTGTACGCATGCATCAGCATGAATCGCACAAACATATGTATGCGGAGGAAGAATCCAGTAGGAGACCACTGCCTGCCGTACTGTCGTCTCTACATTAAAACAAGGGGGGGAAGAAACGGCGACCGGGCACTGCTGTAGAAGCGAGTAGGGCGGCCGAGGCAGCACTTGTGGCGAACTATGTACCCGGCTGATGCTGTTGCGCCCTGTTTCCCTCCCTGCTGTATGCTATACTCCTTTATGTACAGTAGAGGTCCCTGTTTAAGGCCGCCCTGTGACAGACGAAATGACCGGCCTTAAACAGGGACCTCTACTGTATGTCCTTTGTATTGCCTTCGGCCTCTGTGCTGTGTTTCTGTGTTTCTTTTTTTCATGACCTCCCTGCCTACTCTGCTGTGTTGGGTACCGTGATCTCGCTTTGCTGTTGCCTTCAGATCTTCCCGCCCTTTGGTAAAATACTTGTGAAACACTGGCGGTCTTGTCCGCTTTAAGAGAACGAAATCTAACGAAAAACACCAATAAATTGACAACGAAACAAATGTTTCGCGGTTGAACCCTATCGTCGAACGATGCCCTCTGGACTTGTTCTGCAACGGCGTACTTTCAGGCCAGGAGCGAACGTGGAAGGATCATCGTTAACGCTACAGCTTTAAATCAAACTGTGAAGCAATCACCGAATAAATCTTGGATCAGGACAATATACTTGAGTGTTCGAAATCAGGTTCGGCCGTACTACCAGTAGAATACTGCATCTATCACGCTTTTTTGCCCTTTCCCTTCTTGATGACCCCCCCTCTGATGTTGCAGCGGCGCACTTTCAGTGCAGCCGCAAACTCTGGGGTCATCTTGCACGTTTGTTTCTTGTCCGACCTCACATCCAACTCCTTGAGGTTCTCGCATTTGGCGAGCTCCGACGGCAACGACTTGAGTGCCTTGCACCTGGGAGGTGTTGCAAGACCAATGGAGGAACACGGCAGCAATAGTCTAGCCCGTATGGTTGTTTCCCACTTTCTCGACCAACCCCGAGCGGGTTTGTCCATCTGGGAGACGGGCAAAATGTGCCTGAACAGCAATGACGCACTCAGACATTTAAGGCATAGAAGTTGGTGTTGTACTTCGGCATCTCGGCCGCCACGGACTCTCATGTCTATGCTGCACGGGCTATGTACGGAGAGAGGTAAACCATTCTCGACGATAAGGGACAAGATAACCCAAAAACAGACAACAATGAAGAGAGTTTGCACGAGGACAGCAGTTTTGCGGCCACTACCATACCCCCCCCCCCC